AGGAGGAAAAGCGCAGCTCAGTCTGGAGAGCAGCCGCCACGGCGGGGGGACGGGGGGGGACAACGGGGCGACCCCTGGGCCCCCCTCTTACCGTCTCCTCGGTGGGGGCGGGCGGGTCCCCCCGAAAGGCCTCCGGCAGCATGAAGTAGATCTCGAACTCGCGGCTCTCCGGGTCGTCCCGGACTCGGGTCAGCACCGGGCCGGTCATGGGGATGTGGGCCCCTTTTGGGAGGGGGGAAGGGGGGAGAGTCACAGAGGGAGGGGTTGCCCTGAACAAGCACGCGCCCCCTCCCTCCACCACAATCCCGGGTCCCCCCCCAGGGCGGGAGGCGGCGTCCCCTTTCCTGCCTGTGCTGCTTTGGGGGGGGGCTTCCACATCTGCCCCCTTGAACCCCCCCCCCAATTGCGCAGGCGTTTCATTCATTGCATGGGACACTCCCTCATCTGTCATCGGGGAAAAGAGGCTGCACAAGCAGGAAAGTCTACTTGGCCTGGGAGGGGGGAAGCAGCCGGGGGGGGCTCTCCTGGCTCGGAAGCCCCCCCATCCCCCCCCACTCCAGCGGCTCCTGCTTGATGAGCTGGGTGGATTTGGGGGGGGGAGGTGTCTTGAAGGAGCCATTTCTTCGCCTCTTGTCCATCCCAGCCTCTCCTGGGGATCCAGGAGCCCGGATGGATGGAGGCCCTATATTGGGGGAGGGGGAGAGCCAAGGTGACCCCCCCCCGCGACCCCCAAGCCCCATTGGCAGAGCTCAGCCTCCGGCGCAGGGAAGGGGTTTAACTTCCAGGCGCCCCAAGAGTCTCCCCCAGTTTTGGCTCATGGAGCCTCCCGTCTCAGTGGCAGTCTATCTGGGAGCCCAGCCCTCTGCACACGCCCCGAGGCTCCCTTACCCGCCGCGTTCTTCCCTTGGATGTAGCGGAAGAGCCGCCAGAAGCCGTGGATCAGGGCCGGGAGGTAAGCCGAGCCGTCGCTGACGCGGGTGCCCACCCAGACGGAGGGCGGGTAGAGCCGAGCCTGGCAAGGGGGCAGGGGGAGATGGGGGTCAAGATGCAGCCGGGGGTCCCTCCCCCCGACTGAGCAAGGGGGTGGGGGGCGGGGGGGCCGCTCACCTCGTAGCCGGAGCCGTTGCAGACGAGCGTGTAGGAGAAGCACTCGCGGCCCTTCTTGCAGGGAGACACTTCCCTGGAAAAGGGGGGGGGGGACAAGACATGGCTGGATGGCCACCTGCCAGGGATGCTGGAGCTGAGATCCCTGCCCTGAAGGGGGGTGGGCTAGATGACCCCTGGGACCCCCTCCCAACTCTGCCATTCTCTGACCCGAGGAGTCGGGACTCGGCATAGTTTCTCCAGGGAGACGACCTGGCCAGAGGGGGGCAAACGACGCTTGAGAAGAGGGGCCAGCAAACTTTTTCAGCAGGGGGCCGGTCCACTCTCCCTCACACCTTGTGGGGGGCCGGACTATATTTTGAAGGGGAAAAATGAACGAATTCCAGTGCCCCACAAATAACCCAGAGGTGCATTTTAAATAAAAGGACGATCTACTCATGTCAAAACAAGCCGATTCCTGGACCATCCGCGGGCCAGATTGAGAAGGCGATTGGGCCGGATCCGGCCCCTGGGCCTTAGTTTGCCTACCCATGCTTTAGAAAGCTGGTCTCACGAAGTGGGGAGGGGGGCTATGATTGGCTGCGCTTCCTGCCTTGCAGGGGGCTGGACTAGATGACCCAGGGGAGTCCCTTTCAAGGATTCTGGGGGGCAATACGCCAACCCCCCCCATCTAGCTTACCTCTCTTCACAGGCGCCAAACCCCACCAGGAGGAGGAGCAGCAGCAGAGGGGCAGCTTTGGTGTGCAGCATTGCTGGGGTGGGGGCTAGAGAGGGAGAGACCCCCCAATGGGTTAGGAGACCCAGCGACGGAGGCACAGACCCACAACCCCTTCCTCCCTGATCAGAGCACCCCCCCCCGGCCTTCTCTGCCCCACTGAACCCCGACCTACCTTCCCTCAATCTGTGGGGTTTCCAGGCGACGAAGATTCAGGCAGGCCCCTCTCTCTCCAGTCGAAGATGCTCCCATCACATCCACCCCGAATTTAAGGCATTTTGTGGTCCCGCCCCAGGGAGGGGGTCGGTTATGAAACTCCCCTCCTCCTCCCCCAGGATCCCCTGGCGCAATCCCAGGAATGCAGCCTTGTGTAACGGGAGTGTTTTGTAAGCTGGGAAAACAACAACATGCTGGGGCCTGGCCTGCGCTGGGTTGGCAGAGGTTGGGATGCTTTGGCCCAGCCGAGCCCCTATCCAGGATCACCTAAATTTGGGTGTCTATGCTCCGGGGAAGCGGGTGGCGCTGGGGGTTAAACCAGAGCCTAGGACTTGCCGATCAGAAGGTCGGCGGTTTGAATCCCCGCAACGGGGTGAGCTCCTGTTGCTCGGTCCCAGCTCCTGGTAGATGAAGGGAAAGCCTGGTAGATGAAGGGAACGCAGTGGATGTAGTCTACCTTGATTTCAGCAAGGCATTTGACAAGGTGCCCCATGATATTCTTGTAAAGAAGCTGGTAAAATGCGGTCTTGACTATGCTACCACTCAGTGGATTTGTAACTGGCTGACTGACCGAACCCAAAGGGTGCTCATCAATGGTTCCTCTTCATCCTGGAGAAGAGTGACTAGTGGGGTGCCACAGGGTTCTGTCTTGGGCCCGGTCTTATTCAACATCTTGATCAACGACTTGGATGATGGACTCAAGGGCATCCTGATCAAATTTGCAGATGACACCAAACTGGGAGGGGTGGCAAACACCCCAGAGGACAGGATCACACTTCAAAACGACCTTGACAGTTTAGAGAACTGGGCCAAAACAAACAAGATGAATTTTAACAGGGAGAAATGTAAAGTATTGCACTTGGGCAAAAAAAATGAGAGGCACAAATACAAAATGGGGGACACCTGGCTTGAGAGCAGTACATGTGAAAAGGATCTAGGAGTCTTGGTTGACCACAAACTTGACATGAGCCAACAGTGTGATGCGGCAGCTAAAAAAGCCAATGCAATTCTAGGCTGCATCAATAGGAGTATAGCATCTAGATCAAGGGAAGTAATAGTGCCACTGTATTCTGCTCTGGTCAGACCTCACCTGGAGTACTGTGTCCAGTTCTGGGCACCACAATTCAAGAAGGACACTGACAAACTGGAACGTGTCCAGAGGAGGGCAACCAAAATGATCAAAGGCCTGGAAACGATGCCTTATGAGGAACGGCTAAGGGAGCTGGGCATGTTTAGCCTGGAGAAGAGGAGGTTAAGGGGTGATATGATAGCCATGTTCAAATATATAAAGGGATGTCACATAGAGGAGGGAGAAAGGTTGTTTTCTGCTGCTCCAGAGAAGCGGACACGGAGCAATGGATCCAAACTACAAGAAAGAAGATTCCACCTAAACATTAGGAAGAACTTCCTGACAGTAAGAGCTGTTCGACAGTGGAATTTGCTGCCAAGGAGTGTGGTGGAGTCTCCTTCTTTGGAGGTCTTTGAGCAGAGGCTTGACAACCATATGTCAGGAGTGCTCTGATGGTGTTTCCTGCTTGGCAGGGGGTTGGACTCGATGGCCCTTGTGGTCTCTTCCAACTCTATGATTCTATGATTCCTGCCAACCTAGCAGTTCGAAAGCACGTCAAAGTGCAAGTAGATAAATAGGTACCACTCCGGCAGGAAGGTAAATGGCATTTCTGTGCGCTGCTCTGGTTTGCCATGCTTAGTCATGCTGGCCACAGCGAGATGAGCACCGCAACCCCAGAGTCGGTCATGACTGGACCTAATGGTCAGGGGTCCCTTTACCTTTACGCTCCGGTGATCTCCACGTTGGATTACGGCAATGTGTTATACATGGGGCTGCTTCTGGGCAGTTCAGAAACTTCAACCGGCGCAGAATTGGGCAGGTTGCACCTCACACTGATTCTGGTCCAACTGCACTGGCTGCCCATTAGTTTCCGGTCCCAATTCAAAATTTGAAAGCCTTAAAGGGCTCAGGACTGCAACACCTCAGGGACTGTCTCCCTCCATATAGGGCTGCCAGATTTCAAAATCTGGACACAGTTGTGGAGCTATTTTTGCCAAAGGAGCTACTCTCTTTTTTTGCAGAATCTCCCCCCTTCCAAAATGAAGCCTTGGAGCTCTTTTTAAGGAAATCCGCCCAAATCCACGTGGGTTGACATAAATCTGGATTTTCCCAGACATTTAAGCGAATTCCACCCAGACACTTTTTCTGATGGCCGAATCCCAGCTCTGTCCAGAAAATTCCAGACATACGGCCAGCCGACCCCCATATGAAGTGACCCGGACGCCGTGACCATCCTCTTGTCCATGAGAGGTCCAGAGGGCGGCAACTGGAGAGCAGGGCCCTCTCTGCATTGGCCCCCCACTTCTGAGATGCCCCCCCAGGGAGGTCCGCCTGGCGCCTTTGTTGTCCCCCCATTCCTCTTCAACCAGGCCTCTGAATGATTAACAGTTTATATCCTTTTCAATGTCTTTGTTGGAGGGGCAGCTATTGTTCTGTTTCATTATGGTTTTTATTATGTATTTTGTGTTTTCATCTTGTATCTTTAGGCTCTGAACCGCCCTGAGAGGTACGGATGAAGGGTGGTATACAAATTTAATAAATAAGCAAAACAAGTCAAGAATCTCTATGCAGTTGTGTTATTCTTTAGCTGAGAGTCCTGCCTTCATAGAATTGCAGAATTTTGGGGGGGCTCTACGGTGGTCGTCTAGTTCAACCCGTTGTAATGCAGGAATCTTTTGCCAAACGTGGGGCTCAGACCCTGAGATTAAGAATCTCTACCTCTACCAAGGGAACAGGGGGTTGGGCTAGAAGACCTCGGGGGGTCCCCCTTCCAGCTGTACAATTCTAGGGTTCTATGAACATCAGCCTCTTGGTGGAGGCTCCCAAATGGCAGTAGGTTTTGTGGGGGCTGGGAAGTTGGTGTAGAAATATACAAACTGTGTTCGGGGCCACAAAAGAGATCAATAAATATTTATAGAGCAGGTTCAGTTTCTTTGTTTTTTCTTTAAAAAAAAAGAGAGAGACTCAAACGAAGTTAAGTTACAAAAATCTCAAAGGTAAATGGAGGCAGACAGAACAAGATGCGGAACTGGGGGGGGGAGCAGATAAACAGCATTAACTCTGGGTAGGGCAATGCAGGGGAAAGTGTTCTGCACCCCACGTTCTCCATAGAGGGCGGCAGAAAGAGGCCTCCCCAACCCCGCAATTATGACAAAGGTCCTGGTCTTCCCCTTTCCCTGGGGGGACAATTTGAATTTCACAGACACACACACACACACACACACAAAGACATGTTGGTTGGTGGCACTCAGCTCAGAGTTGCCACCTTTCCTGACCGCTGGCTGCTCCTCTGCTGGGTTTCTGGCGGTGGGGGGGTGTCCTTGCTCAGATGGGGATGTGAGCCCCCTCCCCCAAAGTGCCTGCTCTCCTGAGCCACGGACCGTCCCGTCCCCCCGCTCTTGACACCCACAGGACAGACACAAGGGGGGCGGGGAGAGGAAGGGTGCTGACTGCTACATGACCCCCCCAACTGAGACATGGAAGGTGAGGGGGGGTATTTAGTGTTCAGTCCCACACGGGGTCCCTTCCAACACTACAACTCTATGGTTCCCTCCTTGCAAGGTGCAGACATGGGGGACATCGACTGACAACGGAGAAGGGTGGGGGGCTGTTTACAAGGAGCAGCAGGGGTCCTGATCCTTCCTGGGGGAGACGGCGGCAGCAGAGGACCCGCTCCGGACGGGGTGGGGGGGATCAGTCCAGTGGTGCTGTCCTGCCCACCCCCTAAAGCTCAGTCTGAGGTGGGGGACTTGAGCCCAGTCTGGGTGGGGGTCCCTAGTGCAGACCGGCTTGGGCTGCCCCCCTGCTCCCCCTCACATCTTACTGCTCCCCGCAAAGCCCAGTTCGCTGCGGGGGGACCTCCCGGTGCCCCACTCGGCCTCGGCCCCCATCCGGGAGGGCGACTCCGCCTCCTTCTTGGAGGCTGCCGGGCCGCCCCCCGCGGGGCCGCCGGTCCCCCCTCCGAGGCGGTGCCTCCTCTCGCAGTGGCCCTTGTGGCGCATGAAGCTGTCTCGCCACATGAACTTCTTGGCGCAGACGTCGCACTCGTAGGGCTTGAGGCCCGTGTGGGTCTTCATGTGCTCGGTCAGGTGGTGCTTCATCTTGAACTTCTTGTTGCAGACGGGGCAGTCGAAGGGGCGCAGGTTGAGGTGCATGTTGACGTGCCGGTCGCGCATGCTCTTGTGCGAGAAGGCCTTGCCGCAGTGGCACATGAAGATCTTGTTGCCGTCGCCCGAGCCGGCCGCCAGCTGCACCGCCCCGTGCTCCACCGGCGCCTGCGGCGGGAAGACCACGATCTGGTTGCCCTGCATGTCCATGGGCAGGAGGGCGCCGCGCGGCGCAAAGGGGGCGGCCTCCTCCAGGCCCTCGTAGGCCGAGGGGAAGTCCTCCGAGGACTCGCAGAAGTTCACCTGCTCCTCCAGCTTGCCCCCCGAGCCGCCCCCGCCGGGCTCCGTCAGGGTGCGGACGTCACTGATGCTGAGCGCCGCTTCGGGCGCCGGCCCGGCCACCTCCACGGGGTCCTCATCCTCCTCGCAGGTCAGCACCAGGTCCTCCTGGGAGCGCTCCTTCTTGACGAAGACCCACTGCTTCTGGGGCATGATGCTGGGCCGTACGTAGGCCGGGCGCCGGCCCTCGCTGCTGTCGCTGACGTCGTCGTCCGTCTCCAGGACGAACTTGCTGCCGCTGGCGAAGGGGTCCGGGCAGCGCGGGGGCCCCTTCTCGGCCTGGAAGATGACCTCCTCGTCGTGGTCGTCGCGCTCTCCCGCCAGCGCCCCCCGCAGCGGGTGGAACTTGCCGTGTTCGGGGCCCTCGCCCGAGTCGCGGGGGCTGAAGTAGTTGCTGCTGCTGGGCGACTGGTTGTCACTGGTGCGGCTGGAGTGGGCGCGGAAGGAGGAGGAGGAGGAGGAGGAGGAAGGCCCCAGGAAGGCCCCCCGGCGCTCCTTCAGCAGCTCGGTGCACTTGTCCACAATGTGCCACATCTGCAGGACGCTGCCCACCGTCAGGTAGTTGACGATCTCGTCCGAGGCCATGCTCAGCTTGCCCGTGTAGGCCGAGCCCAGCACCGTCTCGAAGGCCACGGGGTCCATGACGCTGGGCAGCACGATGGATGTCATGTTCTTCAGGAGCACCTGGTCGTGGAAGTAGGGCGAGGAGGCGGCCAGCACGGCCCGGTGGGCCCGGAAGACGCGGCCCTGGACGTGGATGGCGATGTCGCACAGCTTGCCCTCCACCCGCTGCTGGTTGAGGTTCTCCAGCAGGGCACTGGTGACCTCGGGGAAGTCGACGTGGACCACGGGGAGGCCGGAAGAGGCCTCCATGGTGCTGGGGAAGAAGGAGATGGGGAAAGAACTTGCGTTAGAAGGCTCGGAAAAGGAAGGCGGTTCAAGCGATTGCTTGGAGGAGGTGCCAAGAGAGCCCCCCTAATGCTTAAGGCTGCAACCAGGACGGCTCTTCTCTGCCTCCACAGTTGGTGGCAGTGTTAGAAATTTGCCAGCTGCGTCTTGCGACTGGCATGGGTTCCACCGCCCCCCGTGGAGATCTCTGGGTGCCACGTTGGCAAGCGACTTCTCCCTCTGGCTGCCCCCCCAACTTTCTGAAGCAGCCAATAGAAGAGCTTATTTTGTTGCATTTATAAAAGCATATTACCTACCCCACTCCCCAGTTACTCCCTACAACAACCCTGTGAGGGAGGCAAAGAGGCTGCGACCAACTCCAAGGTCCTCCGGGGAGTCTGAGTGGGGATCCGAACCCTGATCTCCTGAGTCTGACACTCTCAGCACCACACCACACCCCCAGTTTCCTAGAATTCTTCTGCTATGGGGCAGCTCTATGAATTAAGTAGGTAAATAAATAGGAGGAAAGCAAAATGTCACCCAGAGAAGGATCTGAAATATTTTCCTGTGAGACTGAGGTCAACAGGCAGGGAGTTCCAAAGGGTAGCTGATGCCACTCTAAAAGGTTGAGTATTATGTGGGGTGAGGCGATCACAGAATCATAGAGTTGGAAGGGACCCCCCAAGGGTCAGGATCTTGTAGGTAAATTGGTCCCAAATGGCTCTGATCTCCGAGGAGCAAAGGCGTCCATGGCCTCACTCCCGTCAGCAATTGCACTGCAGCATCCTCCCCAAATGCAGCTTCCGGATCCGCCGTGAGGGAAGCCCCACAGAAAGTGCCTGGCATGAATGGAGCACATTTACTCAGAAGTAAGACCCCCCCCCGGTCCATGGCGCTTGTTTCCACTTGCACGTGCAATTGTGATATAACATTATTTTATTGCACGGATTGTGATATAACATTCTTTTATGCAAGTGCAGCGGAACCAGAGCTGCTTGACTTTTATAACTCCCTGGGCTGGCAGGAGGCTCCTCAGACTCTTGGCACGAGAGCCGGTGATTCATTTCGCTGGCAAGAGAGAAGCCCTTGGCTCTGAGGCCACCCGGAGCTCTTCATTTTCCCAGCCGCTACACCTATTCTATTCAGATAAAACCACCAAAGGGGGTGGGAACTTTGAACCCGCTTCTCAAAGTATTCATGACAGATCCAAGGCCTGTGGAACTCCCTGCCTGCTGACATTGCTGGGGTCTTTCTGTGGCCTCCTTAGAAAACAGTTATTTAAGCAAGCCCGGTGTTATGTACTGAGTTGAATAGGATCCAAAATGCAGCAATCTGATTGGTCCTAGAACAATAGGATTCAGAATGCAGCAGTCTGATTGGTCCTAGAACAATAGGATTCAGAATGCGGCAGTCTGATTGGTCCTAGAACAATAGGATTCAGAATGCAGCAGTCTGATTGGTCCTAGAACAATAGGATCCAGAAGGCAGCAGTCTGATTGGTCCTAGAACAATAGGATTCAGAATGCAGCAGTCTGATTGGTCCTAGAACAATGCAGCAGTCTGATTGGTCTGCAGGAGCCACCCAATCCTGCTCCAGGTGGAAGTGAATCCGCGACCTGATTGGCCTACAGGAGAATCCTGGAATTAGTCAATCACATGCGGCCCATTGTGTAAATAATGTATATAAAGCAGATATTTTGGGGAAACTTTCATTCCTCACTACTATGAGCTGAATAAAGAGCATGAAATCCACCCTTGACTCCGAGTATATTTCACCCATCCAGACAGGCAGAAGCCACACGACTTTCATTTCTTCTTAGCTGCTGTCCATTTCAAATACCTGGCTTTAACCCAGCAATTCCAAGATCAGGGGCACATGTGCTTCAGCTGTGATTCTTGCATTGCAGGGCGCTGGACCACACGACCCCTTGGGGCCTCTTCCAACCTCACAATACAGTTCTAGATTTTCTAAACCTCTTATAAGAGGAGGAGGTGCTGCTGCTTTTTAAACAAGCAATTGGGATGTACATTTCATTAAATTAACTAAAGGAGGGGTCTGCGTCCTGGGTCACACCACTGTTAACCCACTCCCTTGGGGTCAGGTCACTGTTTTGATCCTTTTACACAGTTTTGTGTAATTGTGTGAATTGTGACTTCTTGTTCTTTTTATTGATTATATTTTGGTGATTATTTTATTGTGTATTATTACATTCTAATGGGCTACTGATTATTAGTTTATTTGCTAATAATAAACTAAAGTTATGTTTTTAGAAGGACCTTTTTTTGCACTGGATCCGATTGTCGTAAGGCTTGTGACCTTTGCTGTATCTTTTGCCGTTTCTCCCGCTCACAAACCGCCTTGCGCATAAGAACATGGAAAGGCAGCGTGCAAATTAAAAAGGAAATGGAATGAAAACGGTTCTGCAGAGACGGGGCGTTGCAAACAGAGAATCAGAGGATCGCAGGCTTCAAAGGGGTGCTGCACCGATGCTTCTGGGGGGGCAGGAGGGGGGCAGTCGAGATGCCGCCCAAATCCCAGTGTTGGAGGGCAGGAGAGGGAGGGGGCTGACCAACTTTGGGGGCAAAAGCCTTTGGGTTTGGTCTCCGTTCCTTGTCCCAGGCCTCTCACCCCCCCCCCCAGAAGTGACCGGTAGCAAATCTGCTGAGTTCTGAATGCCAGATCAGTCCACGATGAAACCCTGTTTGTTCAGGATCCGACTGTGGGTGAGCAGGTGTTTTCTTGCTTGGGGGAGTCACCTGCATGGGCCTGGCCTTACCCAGCTGTGCCCACCTGTGTTTCTGGTGCCAGGGGGCTGAGGGGTGGGTGTTGCTCACCCCCTCCTTGACCTTGTGATGGGCTTGGAGGGCCTGGCCTGAGGCTGCACCAGAGAGACGGGGGGGGGGGTCTGCTGCTCCACTGCCCCCCTGGCAGCACCCCTGATCTGGCTGCCTGAGGCAGTCCCTGAGGGATTGTTGGGGGACCCCCAAACAATAATAATAATAATAATAATAATAATAATAATAATAATAATAATAAATTTTTTATTTATATCCTGCCCTCCCCAGCCGAAGCCAGGCTCAGAGCGGCTAACAACAATAAAATAAGACAACATTTTAAAATCAATTCATTAAAAAATTACTTCAAATCAAATTGATGGCAGCCATTGGGTAGAGTTCTGTGCAGATTGCCAGAGGAGGGGGTCAGACTGTGCCTTGGCCCAAGGCCTGGTGGAACAGCTCCGTCTTGCAGGCCCTGCAGAAAGATGTCAAGTCCCGCAGGGCCCTGGTCTCTTGTGACAGAGCGTTCCACCAGATCGGAGCCACAGCCGAAAAAGCCCTGGCTCTGGTTGAGGCCAGCCTAACCTCTCTGTGGCCTGGGACCTTCAGGATGTTTTTATTTGCAGACCGTAGGTTCCTCTGTGGGGCATACCAGGAGAGGCGGTCCCGTAGGTACGAGGGTCCTAGGCCGTATAGGGCTTTAAAGGTTAAAACCAGCACCTTAAACCTGATCCTGTACTCCACCGGGAGCCAGTGGCAGCTGCGCTCTGGGATGCTGCTGGGAACTAGATCATCTCCAGTCTATTTAACATCTACATGAAGCTGCTGGCAGCAGGCATGAGGCCCCGATCAGGTGGAACGCTCTGTGCCAAGAGACCAGGGCCCTGCGGGACTTGACATCTTTCTGCAGGGCCTGCAAGACGGAGCTCTTCCACCAGGCCTTTGGCCAAGGCACAGTCTGACCCCCTCTCTCCTTCGGTAATCCTCACAGAACTCTAGCCCAATGGTTGCCATGAATTTGATTTTGAATGGATTTTAGAATGAATTTTAACTAATTGATTGTGATTTTAGGTAAACTGTGTTACTTTTATTGTTCTTAGCCGCTCTGAGCCTGGCTTCGGCTGGGGAGGGCGGGATATAAATAAAATGTTATTATTATTATCATAGAAGGGACCCCAGGGGTCATCTAGTCCAGCCCCCTGCAATGCAGGAATCAGAACTAAAACATCCATGACAGATGGACTCTGTTTAAAAACCTCCAAGGAAGGGGAGCCCACCATCTCGGGGGGGGAGTCTGTTCCCCTGCCAAACAGCTCTTACTGTCTGAAAGGTTTTCTGCTGTGTTCAGTCGCAATCTTCTTTCTTGTAACTTGAAGCCACTGGTTCGAGTCCTACCGTCCAGAGCAGGAGAAAACAAAGTAGCTCCATCTTCCGTGTGACAGCCCTTGAGATCGTATCTCTCTGTCTCCTCTTTTCCAGGCTAAACATTCCCAGCTCCTTCAACCGTTCCTCACAAGGCTTGGTCTCCAGACCCTTGGTCGCCCTCCTCTGCTCCCGCTCCCGCTTCTCCACATCCTTCTTAAACTGTGGTGCCCAGAATCGGACCCAGTATTCCAGGTGGGGTCTGACCAAGGCAGAAGAGAGAGAGACTATGACTTCCCTTGATCTGGACACTGGACGTCTGCTGTTGCAGCCTAGAAGTTCCAGGAGGTGCCGTCTGTACGCTGATGACCCTCAGCTCTCTTTCTCCATAACATCTGAGTGGGGAGAGGCCACTGTTTGGACGTGGTGGCTAAACGGATGAGGAAAACAAGCTGAGCTTGAATCCTGTGGGCAAGGAGCTCCCAGAAATGGCTCAGCTGCCTGGCTGGGCTGAGGGAGCAGGTTCACAGCTTGGGTACTTCTGGAGCCCCTGTGACCAGGAGGGCCTCTGCGCAATTGCAAGCGGTTCAGCGGAGGCAGCAACCATTCCTGGGCAGGAAGGCCTGGCCACAGCTGCTCATGCACTGGCTACTTCAGGGCTGGATTACCGCAATGCGCTCTCTGTGGGGCTTCCCTGCAGTTAGGGGCGGATGCTGCAGCACGATTGCTGACAGGAGGGAGACCAGGCCAGGACGGCACACTTGTGCTCAGAGGTCCGCCCTGCTCACCAACGTGCTGCTGGGCAGAGTTCAAAATGTTGCTACCAGCATAGAAAGCCCTGAACAGCTTGGGACCAGTTCACCCGAGAGACTTCTGCCTGACCCACATGCCGCCCTCCAACTGGCACCTCCGCAGGAGCCGCAGGAGACCCATTTCCTGCATTTGGAAGAACACAATCCTTTCATGCCCAGGGGCTGCAGATTGGACCCCCCCTCCGGGACGGCCTGGCAGGGGGTGGGGCTGGGTGACCCCCGGGGTCCCTTCCAACTTTGGAACTCCCTGCCTCTTGAGATCTATCTAGCAGGCGCCTGCCAAAAGCATTCTCGCTCAGCCGAGCCTCATCGGACTGGGAGATCCTGTCTTGGGATCTGAACTTGGGCACCTTTCAAAGCAGGACCAGCTGATTCCGTAGCAGGCGCCTCCCCAGACCCTGCCCCGTTTGGGAGAGAGAGAGGGCAGCCCCCCAAAGCGGCGGGCGGGCAGGTAGACTGCGCCTGCAGCTGGAGGCCCCCCGCCCCCCCCGCCCTCTGCACGTGCTCAGGAGCCGCCCCGCCCCGCGCCCGCTCCTCCTCCGCTCACCCTCCGCGCTCGCTCGCTCTCTCGCTCGCCGCCGCGGCCTCTTCCTCCGGCTCGGCTTCCAGGCGCAGCGCCCGCCTCCCGCGTCGCCTTTAAGGCGCGCGCATTGGACGCCCGACGCAAAGCGCGCTCGCGGGGCGGCGGCCGAGGGGAGGCGGGGCGGCGCATGCGCAGGGCGGGGCCGCATTTGCCTACCACTCGAAAACCCGGCGCGGAGCCGAGGCGGGATCGGGGCTCCGCGGCGCCACCTGGGACGGAGAAGGCAGGAGGGGCAGGGGAACTGGGTGGCGGTTCAGACAGGTGGCTCTGGTGGTCTGACATAGTCGAAATAAATGGAAATATTCTTTATAAAAATTCTGGTCCCTGAAGAAGTGTGCATGCACACACAAACCTATACCCAGAAGGAACTTCGTTGGTCTCTAAGGTGCTACAGGACAATGGCTTTTTTAAAAAATGATGTTTTAAAAGGATCTTTCCGAGGAATTTTAAAGGAAATTTGAAAACAGTTTTTTAAAAATCAAAAATTAAAAAAAAATCTTTGTCTTTATTTCGAGTTTATGCAGGTTATAGTTGATATTCATAAGAAACGGAGGCTGGATCCTGGCAAGAAGAAGGGGTCGTGTGCCCCACCTGTCCTGGGAGGATCCACTTTCTGAGGGTCTGACTGGACTAGAGGGCCCTTGGGGATACCAACGCCCCAATTCCGTCCTGGGCTTGGCCCCCAAAGCCCCAAGAGCATCTCCCGCCACATCAACCACCTCTGGGCCCCGCAATGAGCAGGGGGTCTGGGCCGAAGGACTGCCCCCTAGGGACCCCACAGCAGGGCCTTCTTGGGGGTGGCTCCCCAGAAGGGTCTGGAAGGCTCCTCTGCCTCCCCTTGCTAGTAACCTCAGGTCTCCGGATTGTGGGTTCGAGAGCCATGTGGGCTGAAGGATTCCTTCAGGGGAAACCCGGAACACCCCGTGTCTTTTTCCAGTATTGTAAAACTGTGTATGTCTCCCGTTCCTCTGAGTCCCTGGAGTAGAGCAGGATTATAAAGTGCCTTTCGTCACCCAAAGTAAGGGGCTAAACCCACTCCCCACTCCCACTCGGGGGGGGGAGGAGAAATAAAAACAATTTTATATGTGTGTGTGTGTGTGTGTATAAAATAAAATAAAAATAAGTTTTCTAATTTAGGCCACCCATCTGACACGAGTTGTCCTAGCCACTCTGGGCTGCTCCCAACAAAATATAAAAACACAAAAAACCCTCAATGGAAAGCACAGAAACAGGGAATAAACCTCCCCCCCCCAGATGTGCTCTCCCCAAACCACCCGTCTCCCTTTAACAGAACTCACACTCACAGCAGCCTACAGAAAAATATTTGCCTATTTTTAATTCCCCCCGTTTTTGTTTTTTTTTTGCAAAATGAGCTCCCAAATGGACAGAACATCAATACACCCCCCACCCCCCATGGCAACCAGAAGAATACAAACACGGCAGTCCCCGCCCTTCGTCCCCCTGCCCCCCTCATGCATCACGCAGAAGCCCCCCCACCCCGTGAGTCCATGAAGGCAGAGTCACCATCTTCCAGCAAGCCAAGATTTTTTTTTAGGGGGGGTTCCACCTGTCCTTCTGCTCCCTGCCCCCCAAAGTCTGTGCCAGATTGTGGTGAGGGGGCTAATCCGAGTCTGACAGGACGATGATCTCCTCCGGGTCGCACTGGGTCGCCACGCTGGCCTGCGGGGGTGGGGAGAGAGGGGGTCAGAAGAGGAGGAAACCGGTGCCCTGCACCCCCTCCCTCCCCAGAGCAGCACCCAAAGGCCCCCGGCCGCCCCACCCGGCTCAGCAGGGACCTCCCTGAGGCAGACCAGCTGGGAGGAGGGGGGCAAAGTTTAGGAAAACTTTTCTGGCGTGAAGAGAGGAGTTTTTCTTCCTCTCACGTCACGGCTGGAACTCACGGGCGTTTGAGGAAGCTCAACATGGGAAGATTTGAGGTGGGCAAAATAAGGTCCTCCTCAGCTGACGTGTGGAACTCCCTGCCACAAGAGGCAGGCACAGCCAACCAGCTGGGTAAATGGAAAAGGAGATACCTCCTATGAGGAGGGGAGGTTGGGAGCAGCCACTGGCCCAATCCAGGAGGCTCTGCTCAGGCGCTGAGTCCCAGGGGAAGAAGTGGGAGCTGAGCTCCCCCAGGGCTGGTGCTGGGAGAGGAAGGAAGAGGCAATTTGGGGCTCCCGATCGGGGCTCTTGTGCCTGGGGCAAATCCACACCCCACCCCCATTTAGTACCTTCCAGATGGCTGCAAGGAGGCGGCCCCGATTCTGCGGCTGGGGGCTGCCCTGGGAGCTGCTGACCAGCCCCAGGCCTGGGGAGTCGGCGCAGGTGGAGTCGGCCAAGGGGGCCGGGCTGAGGCGCCCCTCTCCGTCCTCGTCTTCCTCCTCCAAGCCAGTGCTGGGCACCTCAATGCAGCTGCCAGAGAAGAAACACACATTGACGGGGCGCTTGCACAGCCTGACTCCCCCCCCCCCCCGGCTGAGGCGGCTCAGAGCGTTTGGCAGAGTTGGAGAAGGGACCCCGAGGGGTCACCCAGCCCATTCCGCCTGCCCTGAAGGAATCGCCCCTCAAGCATCTCTGAGCCCCCCTGACAGGGAGCCTTGAGGGGGTGGGGCTAGATGACCCTCAGGGTCCCTTCCAAGTCCACCCTTCTCTGATTCCATGACCAGTGGGGGGGGGGTCAGGTGGGATTGCTAGGAGGAATTATGAAATATGGAGCAAGCCATTGTGTCCGCGATGAAGGCATTGCGTTGACTGGGTTTGATTCATGGACAATCGTTTCTGATCGAATCCCCCAGGCCTCTCCACCTCGGCCATTTGCTTTCTCTACACCTGACAGGCACGTCTAAGCATTCAGAGACACAGGCCAGTTGCTTCCTCAGGAATCCTCAGTACATAAAGATAGTCGGCTACTTTGATGTAGTTTAATCTTTAGATAGATCTTAAAAGCCAGGAAGAGAGTTCACAAGGAGCTGGTAGACACTGCCATCCTGTCTCTCCTGTTTTGCTGAATGCATTCCTCCTTTTATTCCTATTTTATTTACTCTGGACTACTATGCAGGCCCAAGTAGGAAATAGTTTCCTTGTAGTTTGAACTTCAACTTTGTTCCCACGTGGGGTTTTTTGAAATGCTCAGAGGAAATCTGATTGGTTCTTACGAACACTGTGTAAAAAGTTCTTTTGTGAATAAAACGACCTGGGCCAAGGGGTGGACAGAGGAGAATCATTATTATTGGCACCTCCTCCCAGAATCTTGCTAGTCAAGCCTTGTGTGTATTTTAATAATCAGAGTCCAATCCTTCCTTGCTTTGGGAAGGCTACAACCAGCTCTCAGGGACTCCACGACATCCCTGGGGAAGGGGGCTGCCCTTCAGCCTCAGGTCTGGGCCTGGACATCTCAGGGTCTGGCCACCCCCACGGAAGACCCACAAACGGTGTCTGGCCAAGACAACGCCGAGAGTCAGCAGGAAACTTACTCTGCTTTGGGGCAGAACTTTGGGAAACGCCATTTGGGACTTGATCTGGACTTGCCCAAAGAACCCCTGGCTGATCCCAACCTCTGCTTAAAAACCGCCAAGGAAGGAGAGTCCAGCTCCCTCTGGACTAGGCTGAAAGATCACACCAAGAGTCAGAGCACATTTCAGAGCAGAAATCAGTATCTGGCTTCCCCCGACAGCAGACTAGCGGCCGGCTGCCTTTGCACCTGCGTTCCCAAAGGCCGTGATAACAACCACAACAATAGTAATAAAACGTGGCTCCTGTCCAGGTTTCTTAATTGTCTTACTTTAAGTGTTGTGAGGATCCTATTCCCTTTTAAAAGGTGGTTTTGGGCAGGGGGGATTTGCTAGGTTGCTTTTATTTTATGTATTTTGTGGTTCAATATTTTGATTTTATTCTGTGAAATGCCCTGAAACCTCAGGGTATAGGACAGTGTATAATAATAATAATAATAATAATAATAATAATAATAATAATAATAATAAATCTTCTGGCGGGACAGCAAGGAAGGAGCCTCTCTTGCCAGGCAATCCTGCACTCTGAGAGCAGTTGCAGAAAAGACCCAGAGGCGGAATTTTAAAAAATGTGCAGATGAAACATCTCTGCAATTTACTGTGTTTGCCGGACATATTGAAGTAAGAAAAGGCAAAAACATTCCTCTTCCACCGGGCCTTGGGCGCAAATGGGTCAGCGACTGGTATTGTGCTTTTGGTCATTATGTTCTGCATTTGCCTTTTATCTTGTCAAGCGCCCTGTGCTCTTCGGATGAAGGAAAGTATATAAGTTAGCATTTCTTAAAAGAGGCTCTCCCTCTGAGGGCTCAGCACCCAGGCAGGTTCGGGGCAGGACCTATAGATTCCTTCTGGGCCAGCCTGGAACCCTCAGCCCCCTTGCAATCGCAGAACTGCACTTGGAAGGGACAGCCAAGGGCCCTCTAGCCCCCCCCTGCTTGCCCCCCCTTCCCATGGAGTCTCCTCTCCCCCTTACCACCTCCCTGCCCCTCCGCTCACCTGTTGGACTCCCGCCTGCTCCGCTTGCTGGGGGGCTGCCCGTTCACCCCACGCAGGGGCCCCCCGTTGTCCTGAGCTTGGCCGCGCTTGGCCGGGGGTCTCTGGGGATGGGGCGGCTTCTGGTGCGACCGGAAGACGGGCGAGGGCCCCCTGCCCCCCTGGGTCTGGTGCGGGGGGGAGGGGGTGGGGGGCGGCGTCTCGCCCGCCTCCAGCGTCAGGGCCTCCTCAATCTCCAGGAGGAACTGCTGGGAGGGGGAGGTGCCCACGGCAGGAGGGGGGTCTGCAGGGGCCTGCCCCAGGCGCTGCCCACGTTCCTCTCCTTGGCGCCCCTCCGGGTTGTGCTCTTCCTCGTCCTCTTCGTCTGGCTCTTCCTCCGAGGAGGACAGGACCAGCTCAGGGGCCTCCAAGTCCATGTGCTGGTCGGCCTCCACTTCCTGGACGCGGGCGTCATCATCTGGGAGGGACAGCAGGGTCATGTTGTTTTAATTTATCATTTGGCCAATTATTTTTATTGATTTACCAAATTACTACAAATCAAACCAAATTAATTCAATTTAATACCATTTTCCCGCCCTCGCTACAAAATGTGAACAAAATACAGAAGTACTGTTTGGGGTGGCCGGGGGCGGACAGGTGTGGGGGACTCCCTGGTCCTGAATGGGGACCAGGTGCGCAGCCTGGGAGTCATTCTGGACTCACAGCTGTCCATGGAGGCACAGGTTAATTCTGTGTCCAAGGCAGCTGTCTGCCAGGTCCATCTGGTACGCAGGATGTGACCCTACCTGCCCGCGGACTGTCTTGCCAGAGTGGTGCATGCTCTGGTTATCTCCCACTCTACTGTATGTGGGGCTACCTTTGAAGGTGACCCGGAAACTACAACTAATCCAGAATGCGGCAGCTAGACTGATGACTGGGAGCGGCCGCCGAGACCATATAACACCGGTCCTGAGGTCCAGCGCCAAGGGCCTTCTGGCAGTTCCCTCCCTGAGAGAAGCCAAGTTACAGGGAACCAGGCAGAGGGCTTTCTCGGTGGTGGCACCCGCCCTGTGGAACACCCTCCCAGCAGATGTCAAGGAAATAAACAACTATCTGACTTTTAGAAGACATCTGAAGGCAGCCCTGACATCACTTCACATTTGTTGATCACACGACATGCATTCAGCTGCCCCTTCACCATCCCACAAACAGCCAACCTCATGCCGCCGCCTCGTTGTTGTCCTCTGCCTCGGCCAGCTTCCACGGGGCGCAGAGCCCATGCAGCTGGCCTGGGCGGCAGAGGCAGCCTCCCCGCCACCGCTTCCTCCTCCCGCTCGGCTCTTGGCCATACGCGGCCGCCTCAGCAGGAAGGAGCGAGATGTCACCCAGAGATGTCCACGGCTTCAGAATAGCTGCAGGAGCTTCCTGCTGCCAATCCAAAGCCGTGCCAGCGTCGCAGAAGTCAGTCCCTGCGCGCCATGCCGGTTTAGCGCAGGGACTGACTGGGTGGGCGGCAGGGTCCGCAGGCTGGATTTACGAGCCTGGTGGGCCACATCTGGCCCCTGGGCTGTAGTTTGCCGCTTCCTGATCTAATCCATAAGAGCATGCGTAGCTCGATTCCGGACCCTGCGCTCCTTTGTTTTTTCTCTTTCTGCTTGTGTGTGAAATGGCAGGACCCCCACCACAAAAGGCCCCTCTGGCTGGGCCCCCAGGGTCATGAAACTCAGCCAAAGCATCCACACAGCTGAGAGAGCCTGAGACTCTTAGGGTGGCGGGTTCGAGTCCCGTGACAGACGGCCTCCCAGCCTCTGCTTAGAAACCTCCGCAGGAGGAGGAGCCACCCCCTTCCAAAGGAGGGACAGACTCCTTCAGAAAGTGGGGGGTCCCTTCTGATGCCACCCCAGCCCCCAGCCTACCTGGGGCAGCCCCTTCCTCCTCCTCCTCTTCCTCCTCCAGGCTCTTCTGCAGCTCGGCTTCTATGTCCGACTCTGACGAAGACTCTTCCTCCTCCTCCTCTTCTTCCTCCTCCTCCTCTTCCTCCTCCGCCCCTGCACTGGCCACGCTCCAGCCGGGGCTGCCCTAGGGAAGAGAGACAACGAGGGTCACCCTCTGATCCTGACAATGCCAGGGATGGACAGACCCGCCCCCCAGAAAGCGCTGCGCCCCATCAAGATCCCAGAACGGTGCCCAGAGCAAACCGCCCCAGAGAGACCCTTCCCCTCTAAGGAGAGGGGTCTCAAAGCAGCAACAGCAGCTGCCCAGGCCCCCCCCTCAGGAAGCAAGCCCCCAAACAGCCCCTCCCTGCCCACACCTGGATCCACCCTCACAGGAGGGACCCCAGGGGCCATCTAGTCCACCCCCCTGCAATGCACAAAAAATGCATTTATTCATTTACTACGTTAAGCATACATGAGCATAAAGAAAATATCAGAGCCGTCGGGGATCTCTGTGTGATGCCTGATCATGAAGAAGAGCTACTGGCAGCAATATTAAGAGAAAAAGATAATTAACTTTTTGTAGCAGAATGGAGGCCCTTTTTTAATGTCTGGAAAAGCACTGCAAACAAATGAAATCACAGGCAGGATTTGAGGCAGGGCTAGCGGAAGAAAAACGATACAGGAACTGTACTAGAGAGAGGTTGGTAATAGATCGAGAAATTGAAATATAATGCAGTAGAAAAGAGTTTGAATAAAAAGACTAGGTGCTGGGAAGTCAATACGCAAAACAATCTATATAACCTGAAGTTAGCTTGTAAAAATTTGGAAACTCAATGAACATTACATGGGGGGGGGGAGTGTTACAGTCACAAATCTATTGCAGGAAACTGGTATCCTTAATTTCCCGGTGGAATACAGAGGCTCTGGGCAAGCCTTTGAAGGATGGCTGGAAGATGCCTGCTGAATCTCCAGGGGCAGGGAGTTCCACAGGGCTGGGCCATCAACACTTTATTATTATAATTATTCTTTGTTGATCGACATAAAAGGCTCCGCTTCCGAGTGTTGTCTGGCTGACTTAGGGAATGGCCAGTGATGCTCTTGCAGGCGGGCCCAGATGGGCTGGAAGGGTTCAGGTGCAGGCCTTTGTGAATCAACGTTGAGGACCTTGAACCCAGCCCAGCGCGAGAGAGGGGGTCCTTTCAAAGGAGGCAGGTGGGGAAAGGCCCCCGCCCAGAAAGAGCCCCCTGTGCCGGAAGCCCAGCCTGCCGCGAGGGGCACCATCTTTTCTGCGCCAAGCCCCCTCACCTCCTGGGGAGAGACTGGCTCCCCCTGCTGGCGCCCGGGGGCATCGCTGGGCCCGTCTCTGCCAGCGCTGCCGCCCCGCGATTCCCTCCGGCGCCGCTGCCCCTCGTCCTCGCTCCTGTCCTGCAGCTGCGCAAACTGGGAGGTCACCTCCTCCAGGCGCTGCAGGGCCTTCTCCCGGTTCTGGCGCAGGCGCCGGGCCAGCTCAGGGTCCGACAAGGCCGGGTCCGAATCTGCAGGGGAAGAGATGGGCCGGGCGTTGCAGCGGGTTGGGATGGATGACCCCCGGGTCCCGCAAAGCTCCACAATGCCAAGAACCCCCCGAGCCCCTGCCCGGTCTGGAGCTTTGTAAGAGTCGGACAATCTGAAATAGGCTCAGGTGCCACAATGGGTCCGTGCGCTCGGCTTTTAACCAGAAAGGCGATGGGATGGCCGTGGGCAGAAGTCCCGCACTCCCCCCTCAAAATGGCCTCCTCTGAGGGAACCGCCAAGATCTCCCGCCACTTGTTTCGTTTGTGCATTCGATGGCAGTTTCCCTCAGAATGGCTTTCTCTGAGGGAAATTTTCAACAATTCCCACTATTTCCATGGTGTGTGCATGTTTCTGAACTTTGAAACATCTTTAAAGCCCTACGGGAATGATGGCCAACTCCCCCCCCCGCCTCCTCGGAGGGGAATTTCCATTTCCCCGCTATTTTTATTACGTGTGCCTTTGTCTGAACTGAGGCACCTGTGTGTGTTCAAACAGGCCGGGGAACATGTCGGCCGGCCTGTTGTGCCCCCTGCGCCCCCCCACCAGTGCCCCCGGGCGCTCACTGGGCCGGTACTGGTCGGTGAGGTGGCTGCCGAAGTTGTAGACGAGGTCGAGGTGGCGGCGCTCCTGGAGGCGGTTGCCCACCTCGCGGAAGGCCTCGGCCGCCATGCTCTCCATTTGGCGCTTGGGCAGGCCCAGGCCGTGGCGGGTGCTGGCCTTCTGCACGGCCTTGAGGATGTCGGCGTAGTCGGGAAAGGCCTCGGGGCGGTTGATGAGGCGCTCGATGCGCCGGTTGACCTCCGGGTAGCGGGTGCCACGGTAGGGGATGCGCTGCTCGATGACGCGCCCCGTCAGGCTGCTGCAGTCCTTCAGCTGGCAGAGGCGCTGGAAGATGCGCACCATGCGCCGCTTCAGTCGGCTCTCCTGCAGGTACGTCGAGTCCTCGCTGTCCAGCTCCTCCAGGTCCAGCTCCCGCTCCTGCAGCTTCCGGATCTCCACCTCGTGGAGCCGCAGCAGGTCCTCCAGGTAGCGGATCTGCCGCTTGGAGCCCTCGCCCGGAGCCTTGGCAGCGGGGCCCGGAGCATTCGCGGGGCTGGCAGGGGCGGCGCTGGGCCCGGGGGCCTCTGGCTCTGGAGCCGGCAGGGGCGGCTTCCTCTTCTGGCTGTGGGCCCGGAAGACGGTGCAGAGCTCGTTGATGTAGACGTAGACCTTGGTGCTGCGCGCCTGCACCCGCGCCAGGCAGCGGCCCAGGACGTTGCGGAACTCCACCGAGGAGAGGAAGGCGGGCGCTGCCTTCTGGTGCCGCCCCGTCAGGTAGGGGATCACCTCCGGATGGTCGGCCGTGTGCAAGGAGCAGAAGGCCACAAACTGCGGAGAAAGGAGAGGAGAGGGTCAGGGGCGCAGGGAGCCCACCCACCCAACAACCGAAGTCTGCACCCACGGGAGTCCCTGCCAGGGACTAGAAACCTGGAGGGGCCCCCTGGAACTGGCCAAGAGAGGGGCCATTTTGAAAGGCAACCCTCTCCTGTGCCTGGGGCTTTCTGGTAGCAGAAAAGGCAGCCTGATGGAGGAAGCAGGGAGAGAAAACGTTTCTTCTCTCTCTCTCTCTCTCAACACTCGAACTCGAGCTCCAAGGAAGCCGGATGTCGGGAGATTCGGGGCAGATCAAAGAAAGGACTTATCTGTGCAGCACATTGTTCAACTGTGGAACTCCCTCCCACAGGAGGCAGGCAAGGCCACCCGTACTCCCTCCTACAAAGCTGCCCGAGTTTTGTGATCTTCAGGCGAGGTCTCAGGCACGTTGGAAGAGAAGGAAACCAAACGCATTGTGGACGGAGCCTGCCAGGGAGCGGCAGCCTTTTGACAGGCCCTGCACAGAGGAGGCTGCAACGCCCCTGGAGGACTTCCAGTGTGGCTTTGAGAGAAGGCGGAGGGACTGCACAACTGAGGAGGCCTTGTCCGTGGCGCATCCACCCTCTGCCAGCCAAAGGTCGCTCCCAACCTGAACACAAGTGTCAGAGCTGCCCCTGGTCCCAGCTCACAAAGGACCAACGCCAGTTCCTCTTTATATACAGAAGTCTTTATTGAAGTTCATTGTTGGTTTGACAGCCGTGGCGCGCAGCCCTACGTCTTAAACCCTAGACCGCCGAAGCTCCGTCTGAGTCTCCTCCCCCCAGACACCAGTTTAAGACCCTAGCCTTGCTCCACCTCTTCCTCTGCTCCCTTTTCCTCTGGGTCCGCCTGTCCGCCGGGGTTTTCCCCTTTCTGGACTCTTCTGATGCTGACTCCCCCGAGTCTTCCCCCTCCCTCCGGCGGGCTTTAGGACCTGGTTCCCAATCCGGGCTTTCTGCTGTCCCACGCGCCTGTACATTTGAACTAGGCGCGCGCGCCCAGCCTGCCACCTTCCTTCTGACCGTTATACTGCTCCTGTCGCTGCTTGCCGGAGGAGACGCTGACTCTGACCTATGGGGCTCTTCCCCCCCACTATGCTCCGGTGGGGAAACTGGCCCTGATTTCCAGCTACTGCTCTGGGAGTCCCCGCTGGCCCCTTGCTTCTGGTGCGTCCCCCCTGGGACCCCCCTTGCCCTGGCCATCGGCGCCCCCTTCTGGGAATCTTCTGATTCGCTGGAGAGGCTCATGGAATCTCTCGGGTCACTGTCATTCTGCCCTCCGCTGCCCTCAGATTCTTCCCCTTCGCTCTCCATTTCCTCTCTCCCCTGCGCCTCTGCTCCTGAGCCCCTGACAACAAGACACCGGGGGGGGGGCAGCTTCCAAGTCACAGAAAGGTCATCTAGTCCAGCCCCCTGCAATGCAGGAATCTCAGCTCCAGCATCCAGGGCAGACGGCTGCCCAACCCCTGCTTAAAAACCTCCAAGGAAGGAGAGTCCGCTACCTTCCTGCCCTGTGCCCCCAGAACCTTTTTGGCAGAGGAGGCACCTGGTTTCATTTCCCCAGAATCAGCCTCCAGAAGTGGTATCGTCCTGCTGGCCACCTGACCCGGAAAGCTGTCTGTGGACCAACGCCGGCTCCCTTGGCTGAAAGTGAGATGAACGCTGCACCCCAGAGTCGCTTTGGACTGAACTTCACCGTCCTGGGGCCTTTACCTTTTTACCTATATGCTGATTGGCTCCCTTTCACACTCTGCTTAATTGCAGACTTTGGGATGCTGGGCTCTAGGCCAGGGTCAGCAAACTTTTTCAGCAGGGGGCCAGTCCACTGTCCCTCAGACCCTGTGGGGGGCCGGACGATATGTTGCCATGATTATGACCCGCATTTTTGGCAAAAACTCTTATTTGGACCAACCCCAATGTTACCCAAATGTGATTTGCGGGGGGGGGGGGGTGTTCCCTCACACACCCACACCGCTTCCTTTACATTTTACGCATTGACAGTTGTTATTTCTCTCATAAGGCAGGGTGGGGGGCTGAGGTAAGCGCGCCATTCTTGAATCCTTTTCCCTCTTCCCCACCCTGGAAGAAAAGATTGCAGCGCACGCGCGCACGATGGACAGAAAAGGGGCTTGTTTCAAGCAGCCGCCCACCTCACTTTTGACCCCCAAGCCTGGATGAGTCACAAAAAAACATCGCGTGCACGCTATGCCGGCTGCCTGGATTCCCGGTCTGTCCGCAGGCTGGATCTCGAAGGCAATTGGGCCTGATCCGGCCCACAAACCTTGGTTTGCCAACTCATGCTCTAGGCCCAGAGAGGGGAGAAGCTTTGGAGAGCTGCCCGCTGAGGCCTTGCCACAGTGTTAACAGCCCATATACAGAATATTAGCAAATCCCCAAATGCCACCTTAAACCTAGGTCACAGTCGCCACAACGAAACATCTAGGCACCTTTTGGCAACAAAATTTGTTAATAATAATAATAATAACAACGCGTTTCTAAATGTCTGGGCAGGTTCACCTGCACAGAAATTTTTTGAGCAGGAGCCAAAAAGAGCACAGCAAACACACCACTCCTGACATCAACAGACAGGGAATTCCAGAGCTGCCGCTACAAGACCAGTTTCTGACAAATGCGGAAGAGGCGTTCTGTGACACCTGCCACATGGCTAGCAATGACCACCCTGGGAATGCCTGAGGCTGGAATGCGAACCTGCAGACGCACATCCCCTGTGGCTTCAGGTGGACCACCGTCAGGAGCCCAGGCAGACCAGCTCCCCAACTCCTGGCGGAAGAGGAAAGGCCACCCCCCCATCCCACCGCCCAGGGCATGGCACCCTCCCCACCAAAAAGCAGTTCTGAGTCACTAAGCCCAGCCGAGAAAGGACTTGGAGAAGGAAGCCCAGCCGGGGGGGGGGGGACAAGAAGCCCCCCCTGCTCCATCCCCAGGCGGAGAAGAGGGTCTCGGGGTCCCCCCTTGGACTGGGAAGGAAGCGCCTGCGGGGGCCTCCGCAACTCACCTCGGCAAAGAGCCGCTCGTTCTCCGCCTTGAGGCTGGCGGGGTCCTTCCCGGGGGCTTTCTGCCCCGCTGGGCCCTGAGGCGCAAGGGGGGCTTCCCTGCTGGGGGGCTCCTCCTCTTCATCCAGGATGATGATGCTGCCACTGGGGGAGGCCATGGCGGCGCCGGCAGGCGGGGGGTCAGCGCGGAGGCCCAGCATCCCGGGGGGAGGGCCAGGCAGAGCAGCCTCGGGCCTCACCTGCAGCGGGGGGGGGGGCAAAGAGGGAGTCATTCCCCACACCGGGGGGGTCTCCCCTCCCCCTCCCCCCAAGGGGCCCCCAGAGCCTCCCCTCCCCCTCCCCCCAAGGGCAGGGATTTCAGCGCTTCTCCCCCGCCCACCTGGCCCAAGAACCAAGGCCCCAGGCCCCGAGGCCTCCCCGACCCGCCGGCCCCTCGCTCTCGCCGCCCTCCGGCTTCGCTTTCGTTTCCCGGGCCTCCTCCGCGGCCGGCCAAGAAGAAATGCCTCCCTTCCTCCCGGCCCACTGCGCAGGACCGGAAGTCCCCGCCTTTCCCGCCATCTTGCCGTACGGCGCGGAGCCGGCTTTCCCGCGCTCCCTCGGCGGCGCTTGGCGGCCCGGCTGCGGCCGAGCGTCGGGCGCTTCGCCCGCGTCTCCGCGGGGCCCCCCGCCTCTGGCCTTCCCGCCCCGACCGGGAGGCCTCGCCGGGGCCTCGGGGCGCCGCCACCTTGCCGTACGGCGTCGCCTCTTCCGGCCACGTGACCGCCGCCACCCGCCCGCGATTTGAATCCCAGGGAGCCGTTGGCTTCGGCAGGCCCCGCCCCGGCCCCTTCCCGCCTTGCCTTAGCGGGAGAGGCCCCCTCGCCCTCCGCTCCCCGCGGCCCCGAGGAGCGCGGGAAGGAAGCCCGGCCGGTCAGTTCCCTCCATTCGGCGGCAATGAATTCCTTGGCTCTGAGGTGCTCGCGCATGCGCCCCGCGCCCTCTTCCTCTCGAGCTTCCTGCTCGTTCCCTCGGCGCGGCTTCCCGGCCTCTGCGCATGCTCTGTGTTCTTCCCGCTTCGTGGAGGCAGCCATCATGTTGTACGGCAGCGGAGGGGGCCGGCGAGGCGACAAAGGCGGGAAGGGCTGCTAGCTGGGCGGAGTTTCCAGGGGGAGCCGGAGGGCCAGGCTGGGGCCAAAGCGGAGGCCGGGATTAGGGAAGGCTTTAAGGGCGGGTGGTTTGGGGTCTTTTTAATCTTTTCTTGGAAGCCGCCCAGAGTGGCTGCGGAAACCCAGCCAGGTGGGCGGGGCAGAAGTCACATTTATTATTATTATTATTATTATTATCATCATCATCATCATCATCATCATCATCATCTCTGTCTGTGGACAGCCTGGCACAGAACACTCTCGCCCAAGGAGAAAGAGCAGCCTCTCGACAGGCAGAAGTTCAACAGGTGGAGACACAGGAGAAGGTTCCCCTGGCGAGTTTCTGTTTGGCCGTTCTGCCCTGGGGAGAAGGGACCTTTGGGTACCCTCCTGATGCTCATACATTGAACCTAAGCCCTAAGCAGCCTTGGCCCAGGATCCCTGAAGGAGCGTCTCCGCCTCCATCGTTCTGCCCGGACACTGAGATCCAGCGCCGAGGGCCTTCTGGCGGTTCCCTCCATTGCAAGAAGTGAGGTTACAGGGAACCAGGCAGAGGGCCTTCTCAGTGGTGGCGCCCGCCCTGTGGAACGCCTTCCCATCAGACGTCAAGGAAATAAACAACTACCTGACTTTTAGAAAACACCTGAAGGCAGCCCTGTTGGGGGAAGTTTTTAATGACTGATGTTTTATCGTGTTTTTAATATTTTATTGGGAGCCACCCAGAGTGCGGGGTATAAATAGTTATTGTTGCCTAAGGGCACCAGGAGAACCTGCAGCAGCTGGATCAGGCCAGAGGGGCACGCCTGCAGACAGGATCCGAGCACAAGAGCAAGCCTCCCCTCTCCTTTGGGAGGGAGTTCCATAGATTAACCAATAAGTCCTTTTTTATTAGATTCTGAATCTTGCATTGTTCAGCTTCATGGGGTGTCTTACGATACAGGAGAGAGAGAAACTTTTCTCTATCCATTTTCTTCATCCATTATGTTTACCATGTCATTATGTCATTTGCCTTTTTACTAAACTGTGTTAGAAATATGTGTATAATGTTGTTATAAAAACAGAGACGGCTCTGGTTGCCCTAACAGATGATCTCCGTAGACAACTGGATCGAGGCGGGTCAGAACTGCTGATCCTTTTAGATTTGTCAGCAGCCTTTGACATGGTCGATCATGATCTTCTGGACCACCGCCTCGCAGGCGTGGGGATACAGGGCATAGCCCGTAACTGGCTGTGCTCTTTTATCTCTGGTCAGGGACAGAGGGTGGCACTAGGGAGGGAAATGTCGTCGCGCCATTCCTTGGTGTGTGGAGTGCCGCAGGGCGCAATTCTCTCCCCCGATGCTTTTTAACATCTTTATGCACCCCCTTGCCCAGATTATCCGGAGCTTTGGGCTGGGCTGTCACCAATATGCTGATGACACTCAGCTCTATCTGCTGATGGATGGCCACACTGACTCGGCCCCGAACACACTGACCAGATGTTTGGAAGCTGTGGCTGGATGGTTTCGTGGGAGCCAATTGAAACTAAATCCTTCGAAGACAGAGGTCCTATGGCTAGGTCGGGATGGCATGGGGATGAGGGACCAACTCCCTTCTCTTGCGGGGGCCCAATTAGTGCCATTGCCTTCCGTTAAGAGTTTGGGTGTAATCCTTGACGCCTCCCTTTCCATGGAGGCGCAAGTTACAGCAACAGCCAAGGCGACATTTTTCCACCTTCGCCGCATCAAGCAGTTAGTCCCTTACCTTTCCCGCCCCGACCTGGCCACAGTGATCCATGCGACGGTCATCTCCAGGCTTGACCACAAACTTGACATGAGCCAACAGTGTGACACGGCAGCTAAAAAAGCCAATGCAATTCTGGGCTGCATCAATAGGAGTATAGCATCTAGATCAAGGGAAGTAATAGTGCCACTGTATTCTGCTCTGGTCAGACCTCACCTGGAGTACTGTGTCCAGTTCTGGGCACCACAGTTCAAGAAGGACACTGACAAACTGGAACGTGTCCAGAGGAGGGCAACCAAAATGGTCCAAGGCCTGGAAACGATGCCTTATGAGGAACAGCTAAGGGAGCTGGGCATGTTTAGCCTGGAGAAGAGGAGGTTAAGGGGTGATATGATAGCCATGTTCAAATATATAAAAGGATGTCATATAGAGGAGGGAGAAAGGTTGTTTTCTGCTGCTCCAGAGAAGCGGACACGGAGCAATGGATCCAAACTACAAGAAAGAAGATTCCACCTAAACATTAGGAAGAACTTCCTGACAGTAAGAGCTGTTCGACAGTGGAATTTGCTGCCAAGGAGTGTGGTGGAGTCTCCTTTTGGAGGTCTTTAAGCAGAGGCTTGACAACCATATGTCAGGAGTGCTCTGATGGTGTTTCCTGCTTGGCAGGGGGTTGGACTCGATGGCCCTTGTGGTCTCTTCCAACTCCAAAGAAGGAGGTCCTTTTATATATTTGAACATGGCTATCATATCACCCCTTAACCTCCTCTTCTCCAACCCCCTGCCAAGCAGGGAACACCATCAGAGGTCGTTTTGAAGTGTGATCCTGTCCTCTGGGGTGTTAGCCACCCCTCCCAGTTTGGTGTCATCTGCAAATTTGATCAGAATATCGTATATAGAATACGTATATAGAAGTAGTTAAAACTGAAATTACTGCCTATGCTTAGGAGTCAGAATGGTAACAAGCCCAAACCTGCTGAAAAGGAATGATTTGAGGATGACACCTTAATAAGGTAACAGGAGTTTCTAAGCAGAAAACAATTCCAAATATGGTGTGCCCAATTGGAAGGCCAGGTAGTGTGTCCGTGAGCTGCTTACGCATTGCTTTAGCCAATAATATTGCAAAAATGATATGGGCGCAATAATTGCATGTATTTACCTGATAGAGGAGTAGCATATAAAAGCCTGAGGGCATGTACTGTGGTCAGACCATGATTGTGGCAACAGCCTTGTGGTTGACCATTCAGCGCTGTCTTAATGATGAATAAATCATAGAATCATAGAATCATAGAGTTGGAAGAGACCACAAGGGCCATCGAGTCCAACCCCCTGCCAAGCAGGAAACACCATCAGAGCACTCCTGACATATGGTTGTCAAGCCTCTGCTTAAAGACCTCCAAAGTAGGAGACTCCACCACACTCCTTGGCAGCAAATTCCACTGTCGAACAGCTCTTACTGTCAGGAAGTTCTTCCTAATGTTTAGGTGGAATCTTCTTTCTTGTAGTTTGGATCCATTGCTCCGTGTCCGCTTCTCTGGAGCAGCAGAAAACAGCCTTTCTCCCTCCTCTATGTGACATCCTTTTATATATTTGAACATGGCTATCATATCACCCCGTAACCTCCTCTTCTCCAGGCTAAACATGCCCAGCTCCCTTAGCCGTTCCTCATAAGGCATCGTTTCCAGGCCTTTGACCATTTTGGTTGCCCTCCTCTGGACACGTTCCAGTTTGTCAGTGTCCTTCTTGAACTGTGGTGCCCAGAACTGGACACAGTACTCCAGGTGAGGTCTGACCAGAGCAGAATACAGTGGCACTATTACTTCTCTGCTCAGCCTACCCTGTGTACCTGACTCCTCTTTCCTTAGAGGTTTTTGGCTGTCTGCTCCAAGGAAGGAACCCTCCGAATTTTCCTAACGACTGAAAAGACCCAAACACTGCAAATGAGCATGTGTGTGTGCGCCCCAAGGGCACATGGAATCCGGAGTCCTTTAAGTACCTACTTGGTGCTGCTTTAAAAACAACGGCGCTGGTGATGATCGCCGCTGCATCTTGTGGCAGCAAATCCCACAGTGGCCTGAAATCTCCCGCCTTTCAGCTTTGCTGGGTGCCCTCCTGCCAGAGCTCAGAAAATCTCGTTGGCCCAAACTGCTGCAGCCAGATTGCTGACCAGGACCGGTTAGAGGGAGCACATGGGTCTTGCTAGAACAGCTCTGGGCGCAACCCAAAGGGCTGGCTTTCATCTATAAAGCCCAACATGTCTGAAGGATCCAATTGCCTCCTGTGGAAGCTGCCCAGGCTCTGAGATCTCCAGGAGAGGGCCCTGCTTGGAAGTGCTACGCCCCCAAACAGGCCACTGGTCATCAGGCCCACAGGGTGGGGGAGGAACCTGGGGTTGCTGTTTCTCTGCTGCCCCCACCCCACTGCAGACAGATCAGTGTTCTGCAGTATCTCCTCCCTGGCCTGAAACGAGATCGTTGCCTTTGACTGGGTCCTTGACCTTTTTATCTTCTCCCTGCCACCTGAAGGTGAGGCAGGGGTTGTGCTGGACTCAAGAACAGACTGGATGAGAACCAAGCAGGGAAGCTCCATCCAGACAAGACTGAGGTCCCCGAGGGCAGGCAGCTGGGACACGGCCTGCTCTTGATGGGGTCCCTCGGGAGGAGCGGGGACATAGCTTAGGGTCCTCCTGGATCCTTGGCTGGCCCTTGAGGCTCCCTTGGACTCTGCGTTCCCCATCCAAGGCCCTTCTTTGTGTGTCTCCTCCGCGAGAGATCAAGGGGGTGGCAAGACAAGAGCAGGTCCTTTTCTGCGGTGGTTCCCCATTTGCAGGAGGCTCGCCCGGCGCCTTCACAAGACACCTTTGGGCACCAGGCGGAAACGTCCCTCTTCAAGCAGGCCTTGGGTTGATTACACAATCTGTGGTCTTTTAAAGTGTGTGTGTGTGTGAGAGAGGGAGCTCTTGTTTTGTTAGTTGTTATGGTATGCATTTGT